ATATATACACACAGCATCTCCCAGAAGTGAGTCCCCCCCTCACATTTGTGTAAATATTTGATTCTTTTTTTTTTTCATGTGACAACACTGAAGAAATGACACTTTACTACAATGTGACGTAGTCAGTGTACAGCTTGTATAACATGGAATACTATTGGACACTATTCCTTCAAATGAAATCAATGACGAGGCACTATTCCTCCCACTGACACCAATGATGGGGTACTATTCTCCTCCCACTGACACCAATGATGGGACACTATTCCTCCCACTGACACCAATGATGGGGCACTATTCCTCCCACTGATACCAATGATGGGGCACTATTCCTCCCACTGACACCAATGATGGGGTACTATTCCTCCCACTGACACCAATGATGGGGCACTATTCCTCCCACTGACACCAATGATGGGTCACTGTTCCTCCCATTGATACCAACCATGGGGCACCATTCCTCCCACTGACACCAATGATGGGGCACTATTCCTCCCACTGACACCAATGATGGGGCACTATTCCTCCACTGATACCAATGATGGGACACTATTCCTCCCACTGACACCAATGATGGGGTACTATTCCTCCCACTGACACCAATGATGGGGCACTATTCCTCCCACTGATACCAATGATGGGGCACTATTCCCCACTGACACCAATGATGGGGCACTATTCCTCCCACTGACACCAATGATGGGGCACTATTCCTCCCACTGATACCAATGATGGGGTACTATTCCTCCCACTGACACCAATGATGGGGCACTATTCCTCCCACTGATACCAATGATGGGGCACTATTCCTCCCACTGACACCAATGATGGGGCACTATTCCTCCCACTGACACCAATGATGGGGCACTATTCCTCCCACTGACACCAATGATGGGGCACTATTCCTCCCACTGATACCAATGATGGGGTACTATTCCTCCCACTGACACCAATGATGGGGCACTATTCCTCCCACTGATACCAATGATGGGGCACTATTCCTCCCACTGACAGCGTTGAGAGGGCACTATTGTTTATGATAAGACCAATGATGGGTCACTATTCCTCCCACTGACACCAATGATGGGTCACTGTTCCTCCCATTGATACCAACCATGGGGCACCATTCCTCCCACTGACACCAATGATGGGGCACTATTCCTCCCACTAATACCAACGATGGGGCACTATTCCTCCCACTGACACCAATGATGGGGCACTATTCCTCCCACTGATGCCAATGATGGGGCACTATTCCTCCCACTGACACCAATGATGGGGCACTATTCCTCCCACTGATACCAATGATGGGGCACTATTCCTCCCACTGACACCAATGATGGGGCACTATTCCTCCCACTGACACCAATGATGGGGCACTATTCCTCCCACTGACACCAATGATGGGGCACTATTCCTCCCACTGATACCAATGATGGGGCACTATTCCTCCCACTGAAACCAATGATGGGGTACTATTCCTCCCACTGACACCAATGATGGGACATTATTCCTCCCACTGACACCAATGATGGGGCACCATTCCTCCCACTGACATGGTCGATGAGGCATTATTCCTCCCATTGATCCCAACCATGGGGCACCATTCCTCCTGTTAAAACCTATGATGGGGCAGTGTTTACTCCCACTGATGCCGAGACATTTTCTGCTCACCCTGGCCACAGTCTGCCCCCTCTAAAGTCTGAAGGACAGTAAACCGGCCCTTTGTTTGAAAAGTTTGAAGAACCCTGATTTAGAGGAAATGGGTTGAATGATGATGATGACTGTCACCCTGAGGACATCTAGTGGTGGAATGGAATGGTTAAATGCTTAGCAAGTCTTGGGGGGGTTGGGGAATGGCCCGGGACCTCCAACAGTCCTGTTGTGCCCGCTGTTTAGAATACACTGCAGAAAAGCAGATACACAACCAACGATCCTGTTTAAGCACCTCCCACCCGCCATATAGTCCAATGACGGGCGCAAGGCAGTTCTCTCGTTCTGGGAGGACATCATATGACGTCATCCCATTTGAACCGCGCAAGCGTGGCTCCGGGAGCGCGCGCAGCGCGGCGATCGGTGGTGCGCTGTGTCCCTTGGACACGCCGGATCACTGATCAACGGAAAGCCAAAAATGTCAGCTCGGTCATGTGATCAGCTGTGTCCAATCACAGCTGATCACGTCAATCGGGAAATCGGTTATCGGCATTTCTCTCCTCACGAGGTGTCACACTGACAAAAGAGAGGAGAGGAGAGCCGGTAATCGGCATTCCTCAGAGGAGACATGTACACTGATCATCAGGGCACTGGTGATCTGTGTAGCCCCAGCAGTGCCACCTGTCAGTGTCCATCAGTGCCAGCTGTCAGTGCTCATCCATGCCAGATGCCAGTGCCTACCAGTGCACATCAATGCCACATATCACTGCCCATCTGAGCTGCCTTACAGTGTCACCCATCAATGCCAGTCAGTGCCGCCTATCAGTGCTGCCTTTCAGTGCCCATCAGTAATGCCTGTCAATGTCCATCAGTGCCACCTAACAGTTTCTCCTCATCAGTGCAGCCTATCAGTGCCCATCACTGCAGCCTCATTAGCGCACATCAGTGAAGGAGAAAAATCACTTATTTACAAAATTTTATAACAAAAAGTAAGAAAAACCTTTTTTTTTCAAAATTTTCAGTGGTTTTTGGTATAAGAGAAAATATAAATCCCCGAGGTGATTAAATACCACCAAAATAAAGCTCTGTCACAAAAAAATGATAAAAATGTCATATGGGTACAGTGTTGCATGACCGCGCAATTGTCATTCAAAGTGCGACAGCGCTGAAAGCTGGAAATTGGCCTGGATAGGAAGGGGGTAGAAGTGCCCTGTAGGCAGGAAGGGGGTAGAAGTGCCCTGTAGGCAGGAAGGGGGTAGAAGTGCCCGGTAGGCAGGAAGGGGGTAGAAGTGCCCGGTAGGCAGGAAGGGGGTAGAAGTGCCCTGTAGGCAGGAAGGGGGTAGAAGTGCCCTGTAGGCAGGAAGGGGGTAGAAGTGTCCTGTAGGCAGGAAGGGGTAGAAGTGTCCTGTAGGCAGGAAGGGGGTAGAAGTGCCCGGTAGGCAGGAAGGGGGTAGAAGTGCCCGGTAGGCAGGAAGGGGGTAGAAGTGCCCTGTAGGCAGGAAGGGGGTAGAAGTGCCCTGTAGGCAGGAAGGGGGTAGAAGTGCCCGGTAGGCAGGAAGGGGGTAGAAGTGCCCTGTAGGCAGGAAGGGGGTAGAAGTGCCCTGTAGGCAGGAAGGGGGTAGAAGTGCCCTGTAGGCAGGAAGGGGGTAGAAGTGCCCTGTAGGCAGGAAGGGGGTAGAAGTGTCCTGTAGGCAGGAAGGGGGTAGAAGTGCCCGGTAGGCAGGAAGGGGGTAGAAGTGCCCTGTAGGCAGGAAGGGGGTAGAAGTGCCCTGTAGGCAGGAAGGGGGTAGAAGTGCCCGGTAGGCAGGAAGGGGGTAGAAGTGCCCGGTAGGCAGGAAAGGGATAGAAGTGCCCGGTAGGAGGGAAGGGGGTAGAAGTGCCCTGTAGGCAGGAAGGGGGTAGAAGTGCCCGGTAGGCAGGAAGGGGGTAGAAGTGTCCTGTAGGCAGGAAGGGGGTAGAAGTGTCCTGTAGGCAGGAAGGGGGGTAGAAGTGTCCGGTAGGCAGGAAGGGGGTAGAAGTGTCCGGTAGGCAGGAAGGGGGTAGAAGTGCCCTGTAGGCAGGAAGGGGGTAGAAGTGCCCTGTAGGCGGGAAGGGGGTAGAAGTGTCCTGTAGGCAGGAAGGGGGTAGAAGTGTCCTGTAGGCAGGAAGGGGGTAGAAGTGCCCGGTAGGCAGGAAGGGGGTAGAAGTGTCCGGTAGGCAGGAAGGGGGGTAGAAGTGTCCTGTAGGCAGGGAAGGGGGGTAGAAGTGCCCGGTAGGCGGGAAGGGGGTAGAAGTGCCCGGTAGGCGGGAAGGGGGTAGAAGTGCCCTGTAGGCGGGAAGGGGGTAGAAGTGGCCGGTGGGCAGGAAGGAGGTAGAAGTGTCGGTAGGCAGGAAGGGGGTGGAAGTGCCCGGTAGGCTAGTGGTTAAGAAGACAAGATGGCCGCCACCAGTCTTACCACCAGGATATGAAGAGGACTTGGCCATGTCAATGGGAAAATTGCTAAAGAATTATTTCGAATTAAAAACAGACCCCATGAAGACTCAAGGTAGGAGAAGACAGATGCAATGGTGCTTCCAGGAGTTCAGGTTGAATATTTGGATTCTTGCTCAGTCCCAGCCATGACAGGCCTTCTTTAATCTGGAGCGCCAAGTTGAAGCTCGCTCTGAGCCGCAGCCGGCCCCGCTCATTGGGTGATCTACGACTTTTATACACAATATTCTTATTTCTGTCATGGTTCTGCCCTCGCTAGACGCCGGCCGCACTACTTTTATATCCGGCGGTTGCTAAAATGACACATTACACAATGTAAGAGATTGATGGTTTCCATAAAACAACAAAACCGGCATTTGTTTGAGAAGTGCCAGCGCGTTCCCCGGCAGTGCTTGCGCCGCCTAGTTTATGCGGAAGGGTCATAATATTTACGAGCAAATTTCCTCAAGGACTGGCTGGCCGCGACGGCGGAGGAGAATATTACCGAGTATAAACAACACCTGTTACGCGCGGGGCCGCCGTTTGAATGCGCCAATAAATACCGAGGCTCGGTAGTCAGAAATGTTCACTTTGCGGTGGTGACCGTCGTTGTAAAAAACAGACGCGGAACGTTATAGAAGGTGTCAGTGATGAACTCAACGTGAGGGCGAGGGACGAAATATCATGGCGAGATGAGGGCAGTATTTCAATATGCTGACTCAAGGATGCCACAGCCAAAACGCTGCACTTAAAGGGTATCTACAAACTAAACTTTGCATTTGGGACGCAGAAGGGAAAAGGTTAACCACCCCCCATCCGGCTGTTGTATATAAATGGCTGGACGGTGGCAGTGCAGGGGCGGGTGGCCGTTTATAAAACGAGCGGGACGAACGTTACTTACTTGGAATATGAGAAAACTTCAACGTTTCGGATAGTCCCGTCTCTTCGGTTCAGAGGGATGATTCCTTCACTTTCCAAAATATGTTCCTTGCTGGTCTCGGGCTCTTCACTGGTGGCATCCCTCTGCTGATCAGCAGAAAAGACTCTGTAAACAGGCAATCTAAACAATTCAGACGAGATCTTTGGATCCTTTAAGCTAGCAATCTAGGGTCCTTGGTTCAAATCCCAACCACGGCACAACCTGCCTGGAGTTTGCATGTTCTCTCTGTGCCTACGTAGGTTTCCTCCGGGAACTCCGGTTTCCTTCCACACTCCAAAGACTTGCTGGTAGGTTAATTGGCTCCTGTCTAACTTGTCCCTAGTATGTGTATGTATGTGAGTTAGGGACCTTAGATTGTACGCTGCTCGGGGGCGGGGACTGATGTGAATGTACTATATATATTTTGTAGATTCACATCAGTCCCCGCCCCCGAAGAGAATACAATATAAGGTCCCTAACATATATAGTACCTTCACATCAGTCCCTGACCATCAAGGGGCGTACAATCTAAGGTCCCTAACGCACATTAATACATACATATATATGTGTGTGTGTGTATATATATATATATATATATATATATATATACACACACACACATATATATATGTATGTATTAATGTGCGTTAGGAACTATATATATATATATATATATATGAACGTGAGTTAGGGACCTTAGGTTGTACACTCCTCAGGGGCAGGGACTGATGTGAATGTACTATATATATATATATCTATATATATAGATATATATATAGATATATATATATATATATATATATATAAATATATCTATATCTATCTATCCGTCACGGTCCCACCCCCCTTACCTGCTGTCCCTCTGCTCCCTCTCCCTTTGATCCACCCCTTCCTCCCCCTTGCAGATTCCTCGCAGCCTACATCAAAGGCTGTGCAGGACGGGAGGAAACGCCCCCTGTGGTGCAGGTAGCACCTCTCGGGCCCCCCCCCCACCAAGAATCCCCAGCGCAGGCCACTGAGGTGTCTCCGTGCATCCCCCCAGCGGGCGCAGGTTGGGCAAGAGGCTTCCCGCGCTCGGCGCCCATCGGAGGAGACAAAGGCTGAGTGATGGGGGCCATGCCTCCTTGTCCCGGCAACCCAACGCTGGGCCGGCCATTGCCGGGGCAACCGGGAAGCGTCCTGCTCTGGTTTAAGAAGACCGGAGCAAGACCCAGCCCGGAGTTCGTCCCCCCCCTCGGGACAGGGTGCTGTGTGGGGTCTGAGCTGAGGCCAGACCCCACAGCCCAGACCCCGCTGATCACTGTGTCCCTGGAAAACTGCCCCTGCCTGCTGACAGCTGTGTGCCTAGAAGGGTGAGCACCATGAGGGTCCCTGTCTTCTGATCGCTGTGTCCCTTTGAAGCTGCCCCCTGTCTGCTGATGGCTGTGTCCCTAGAAGGGTGAGCACCGTGAGGGTCCCTGTCTGCTGACCGCTGTGTCCCTAGAAAGCCGCCCACCGCGAGTGTCCCTGCAAGCCGCCTGCTGCCGAGTGTCTGCAAGCCGCCTGCTGCCGAGTGTCTGAAAGCCGCCTGCTGCCGAGTGTCTGCAAGCCGCCTGCTGCCGAGTGTCTGCAAGCCGCCTGCTGCCGAGTGTCCCTGGAAGCCACCTGCTGGTGAGTGTCTGCAAGCCGCCTACTGATCGCTGTTGAGTGTCCCTGGAAGCGAGGTCTGAGTTGAGGCCAGACCCCACAGCCAAGACCCGGCCAAGTGCCAAGAAAGCCTGCTGCTGAGCATCCCTGCACACTGCCTGCTGAGTGTCCACAGAAGCTGCCCGCTGCCGATTGCTGAGTGTCCCTGGAAGCTGTCCGCTGCTGAGTATCCCTGGAACCCACCTGCCGTGAGTGTCCCTACAAGCCGCATGTTGTGGAGTGCCCTGGACTGCCCCTATTGTGCGCCCTATTGCCCTTGCCCGGACTGCCTCAGTGTGTGCCATATCACCCCTGCCTGGACTGCCCCATTATACGCCCATATTCCCCTTGCCTGGACTTCCCCTATTGAATGCCCATATAATCCTTGCCCGGACTATCCTGTTGAGCACCCCTATGTCCTGTGCTTGGGCTTCCCCCATTGAATACCCGGACTATTGTTTGCTTGAACTGCCCCTATCGTGTACCTGGATTAATACCTGTTCGGGCCATCACTACCTAGATTGCCCTATCGTGGGCCAGATTACAATTATTTTGGGCTCCTCCCCTCTCTTCCCCTTTTTGGGTACCTGGACGCTACCTTCCTACCCCGATTGAGTGCCTTCCATAGTTCAATAAAGCTTTGTGTGTTTATCATCCTCCGTGTGTTCTGTCCTGCCTACGCTTCCGTCAGTGTGTGCGTGTGATTTAGGGACCTTAGACTGTACGCCCCTCGGGGGCGGGGTTGGATGTAAACGTACAATATATACGTAAAGAGCTGCATAAACTGACGGCGCTATACAAGTACCTGAAATAAGTAAATAGAAAATGTTCCCAGTGATATGGTGACACTTACCTTGTACTCATCAATCCAGGACTGTAAACCTGAAAATGTGAAACTGGCCCAGTTCCCACCATAATAATTCCTCCTGCAAGGTAAAAGGAAAAAAAAGTTAAAAGGATCTATAAAAGAAAAAAAAAAAAGTCCTTTGCAATTAATTCCGAACTGTCATAGAGAGTTAAGTATGGCCATGATTTGTATCTGAAGAGAAATAAAAAAAAGAAAGACAAAGAATTCACTTACAATACATCACTCGGCGCCGGAGATTAACGGTTATGTGTCTTGGCCGGATTCGGCTATAGGTGTATTCCTCGATCAAAAGTACATATATTGAAAGATCGCCGTGACTACAGAATACCGAGCGCTACTAAAAGGAGGAATTGGTTTGATAAAAGTGCAGACGTTCCAAGAAAAAAAAAAAAAACCCGGCACCGCTCATCTCTTGTTCTGGAAATCTTTGGGGCCCGTTTGCAAAAAGGTCGATAATTCGCCCTTTTATGTGAAATATCAGTCTTGACAGTTTGGTGGGTTTTTAAAAGATCCTCTGGGCCACTTTTCTACCGCCCGTCATCCAGAAAAATCTATTTTGAAGATTGACTTCACCAATTTATTCACATTTTCCCCCCACTAGTGAAAATTTTGTCAAGAATTACCATTCGTTGCAAGTTTAGAAACACGTTTGGGCAGAACATTTAGTGCTAGAGTGTTACCAACGCTTGTAATCTACTCATCTATGGCAGTACAGGATATAACTCTGATATTATATTATTTACAACGGTCTTTCTCAAGCTTTTTAAACACAAAAGAGAGCGGGGAGAGTGAATGCGGGGTCCGGGGAGAGCGGATAGAGTGAATGCGGGGTCCGGGGGGAGAGCGGATAGAGTGAATGCGGGGTCCAGGGACAGCGGATAGAGTGAATGCGGGGTCCGGGGAGAGCGGATAGAGTGAATGCGGGGTCCGGGGAGAGAGCGGATAGAGTGAATGCGGGGGTCCGGGGACAGCGGATAGAGTGAATGCGGGGTCCGGGGAGAGCGGATAGAGTGAATGCGGGGTCCGGGGACAGCGGATAGAGTGAATGCGGGGTCCGGGGAGAGCGGATAGAGTGAATGCAGGGTCCGGGGAGAGAGGATAGAGTGAATGCGGGGTCCGGGGAGAGCGGATAGAGTGAATGCGGGGTCCGGGGAGAGCGGATAGAGTGAATGCGGGGTCCGGGGAGAGCGGATAGAGTGAATGCGGGGTCCGGGGAGAGCGGATAGAGTGAATGCGGGGTCCGGGGAGAGCGGATAGAGTGAATGCGGGGTCCGGGGAGAGCGGATAGAGTGAATGCGGGGTCCGGGGAGAGCGGATAGAGTGAATGCGGGGTCCGGGGAGAGCGGATAGAGTGAATGCGGGGTCCGGGGAGAGCGGATAGAGTGAATGCGGGGTCCGGGGAGAGCGGATAGAGTGAATGCGGGGTCCGGGGAGAGCGGATAGAGTGAATGCGGGGTCCGGGGAGAGCGGATAGAGTGAATGCGGGGTCCGGGGGGAGAGCGGATAGAGTGAATGCGGGGTCCGGGGAGAGCGGATAGAGTGAATGCGGGGTCCGGGGAGAGCGGATAGAGTGAATGCGGGGTCCGGAAACAGCGGATAGAGTGAATGCGGGGTCCGGGGACAGCGGATAGAGTGATTGCGGGGTCCGGGGAGAGCGGATAGAGTGAATGCGGGGTCCGGGGAGAGCGGATAGAGTGAATGCGGGGTCCGGGGAGAGCGGATATAGTGAATGCAGAGTCCGGGGAGAGCGGATATAGTGAATGCGGGGTCCGGGGGGGAGAGCGGATAGAGTGAATGTGGGGTCCGGGGAGAGCAGATATAGTGAATGTGGGGTCCGGGGAGAGCAGATATAGTTGGTGCCAGACGGGATGGTCGGAGTATTTGAAAAACTGCTGATCTGGGATTTTCACGCACAACCATCTCTGGGGTTTACAGAGAATGGTCCGAAAAAAAGAAAATATCCAGTGAGCGGCAGTTGTGTGGAGGAAAATGCCTTGTTGAGGTCAGAGGAGAATGGGCAGACTGATTTTTAGATGACAGAAATTCAACAGTAACTCCAATAACCACTCTTTACATCCAAGGTGTGCAGAATACCATCTCTGAACACGCAACACGTCCAACCTTGAAGCAGATGGGCTACAGCAGCAGAAGACCACACCGGGTGCCACTCCTGTCAGCTAAGAACAGGAATCGGAGGCTACAATTCACACAGGATCACCAAAATTGGACAATAGAAGATTGGAAAAAACGTTGCCTGGCCTGATGAGTCTGGATTTCAGCTGCGACATTCAGATGGTAGGGTCAGAATTTGGTGTAAACAACATTGAAGCATGGATCCATCCTGCCTTGTATCACTGGTTCAGGCTGGTGGTGGTGTCATGGTGTGGGGGATCCATCCTGCCTTGTATCACTGGTTCAAACTGGTGGTGGTGTCATGGTGTGGTGGATCCATCCTGCCTTGTATCAACGGTTCAGGCTGGTGGTGGTGTCATGGTGAGGTGGATCCATCCTGCCTTGTATCAATGGTTCAGGTGGGTGGTGGTGGTGTCATGGTGTGGGAGAGATATTCTTGGCACACTTTGGGCCCCTTAGTACCAATTGATCATCGGTTAAACGCCTACCTGAGTATTGTTGCTGACCATGTCCATCCCTTTATGACTCCAGTGTCTCCATCTTCTGATGGCTCCTCCCAGCAGGATAATGCTCCATGTCACAAAGCTCCAATCATCTCCAACTGGTTTTTGGAACATGACAATGAGGTCACTGGACTCCAATGGCCTCCAGAGTCACCAAATCTCTTTATTTTGGTGGTCAGTGGGAAAAGGGCATTGTTGCGCTTCGGGGACAGCTGGATGCGACCCTCTTGAGCCTAGGGGACAGCCGGACGTGACCCTCTTGAGCCTGGGGGACAGCCGGACGCGACCCTCTTGAGCCTGGGGGACAGCCGGACGCGACCCCCTTGCGTCTGGGGGACAGCCGGACGCGACCCTCTTGCGTCTGGGGGACAGCCGGACGCGACCCTCTTGCGCTTCGGGGACAGCTGGACGCGACCTTCTTGCGCTTCGGGGACAGCCGGACGTGACCCTCTTGCGCTTCGGGGACAGCCGGACGCGATCCTCTTGCGCTTCGGGGACAGCCGGATGCGACCCTCTTGCGCTTCGGGGACAGCCGGACGCGACCCTCTTGCGCTTCGGGGACAGCCGGACGCGACCCTCTTGCGCTTCGGGGACAGCCGGACGCGACCCTCTTGCGCTTCGGGGACAGCCGGACGCGACCCTCTTGCGCTTCGGGGACAGCCGGACGCGACCCTCTTGCGCTTCGGGGACAGCCCGGACGCGACCCTCTTGCGCTTGGGGGTCAGCGGGACCAGACTGTTTGGGGGACTGACGGGACTGAATTGTGTGACTAAAAAAAAGTACAAAAAGGTGGATGGAGATCAGGGCTGGTGACCAAAGACATACTTAGGGCAGGACTGGCAGCAAATACAGTATTTCATGGACAGGCTGAGGTAGGTAACAGAGTTCCAGGGGACAAGGCAAGTTTCGAAGTACAAGATACGGAGCTCATGCAGCAGGAAGCCATGTGCTTACACCACCCAAGCAAAGCACCACATCGCCATCAGGCAATGCCAAAGCTGGAGGGCATGTGGCTAGGTTTGTCAGGTCACAGCAAAAATGTCTGGTAAAGACACATTGGCAGCAAATAAGTTGGGAGACTTACCACCATAGCTGCATTTCTCACACTCCAAAAACTTTTGTTTTATGAAGCTGGGGGTCAACCCATGAGGTGCTTGCCCTGGCCCACCCATTTCTTTCAATGATCCTGCCTCTCAGGGACTCTATTAAGGAAATCTTGAAGAGGAGTACAGGTGGCCCGAATGAGAGGTTCCTATGCACCCCTCTGGATTTTGAAGGCCCAACTCCAGGCTCTCTGGAAGCTCTTTCCATACCTGTCTCCTCTTCTCTGAGAATGTTAGGAAAATACCTCTAGAGAATGGTCAAGAAAGTCAGACTTAGCACCGTTCACAGTTCTTAAGAGGTTGAATTGTCTGAAGCATTAGACAGATGATTGATTGGTGTTAGAGTCACAAGGCAAGGTCCATGCAGGTGAAGAGTTTCCTAGTTGAGGTCACAAGCCAAGGTCCATGCAGGTGAAGAGTTTCCTAGTTGAGGTCACAAGCCAAGGTCCATGCAGGTGAAGAGTTTCCTAGTTGAGGTCACAAGCCAAGGTCCATGCAGGTGAAGAGTTTCATAGTCGGGGTCACAAGCCAAGGTCCATGCAGGTGAAGAGTTTCCTAGTTGGGAACACAAGCCAAGGTCCATGCAGGTGAAGAGTTTCATAGTCGGGGTCACAAGCCAAGGTCCATGCAGGTGAAGAGTTTCCTAGTTGGGAACACAAGCCAAGGTCCATGCAGGTGAAGAGTTTCATAGTCGGGGTCACAAGCCAAGGTCCATGCAGGTGAAGAGTTTCCTAGTTGGGGGTCACAAGCCAAGGTCCATGCAGGTGAAGAGTTTCCTAGTTGGGGGTCACAAGCCAAGGTCCACGCAGGTGGAGAGTTTCCTAGTCGGGGTCACAAGCCAAGGTCCATGCAGGTGAAGAGTTTCGTAGTCAGGGTCACAAGCCAAGGTTCATGCAAAGAGAAGAGTTTCGTAGTCGGGGGTCACAAGCCAAGGTGGATGCAAAGAGAAGAGTTTCGTAGTCGGGGGTCACAAGCCAAGGTGGATGCAAAGAGAAGAGTTTCGTAGTCGGGGGTCACAAGCCAAGGTCGATGCAGGAGAAGAGTTGCATAGTCGAGGGGTCACAAGCCAAGGTCGATGCAAAGAGAAGAGTTTCATAGTCGAGGTCACAAGCCAAAGTTGATGCAGAAGAAACGTTTCGTAGGGTGGGGGGGGGGTCACAAGCCAAGGTGGATACAGAAGAGTTTTTAATTGGGGTCACAAGCCAAGATCAATACAGGAGAAGAGTTTCATAGTCGGGGTGACAAGTCAAGCTCAAGGTCAAGATAGGACCACCCAAAAATGTGTTCAAGGAACTGTCCAGCATTCCAGCTGGCTCAAC